TTTGATTTTTTTTGCTCTTATTTTTGCTCTCATTTTATTACTTTGCTTTTAATTTGATATCTTCTCTAGATTTTTAAGAAAATGGTTATTAATTTCAAGTCTTTCTTTTTTTCTAATATAAGAATTTTCATGCTACAAACTTCTCTTGATCATTGGGTCGGCTGCATCCCATGAATTTTTTTTATGGTGTTTTCATTACCATTTAGTTTAAAATGTTTTTTTAATGTTTTTAATGACTACCTCTTTCAACATATGTTATTTAGAAGTATGTTGTTTTGTTTCCAAAATTTGGAAGCTTTTCTATGTTGATTATTTTTATTGATTTCTAATTTGAACTCTGCTTTGCTTAAAGGCACACTTAGGATATTTCTATCTTTTGAAATTTATTAAAACACCATATCTTAGAGCCCAGAATTAGCACACAGTCTATCTTCATGAATGTTCTAAGTGTATTGGAAAGAAGTATGGCTGGGCACAGTGGCACACACCTGTAATCCCAGAGGCTTGGGAGACTGAGACAGGAGGATCATGAGTTCAAAGCCAGCCTCAGCAAAAGCAAGACACTAAATAAAATACAAAATAGGACTGGGGATGTGGCTGAGTGGTCAAGTGACCCTGAGTTCAATCCTCAGTACCTCCCCCCTCCAAAAAAGAAAGAAGTATGTACTATGAAGTTGTGGGGCATGGTGTTAACATAAATATCAATGTATTCAATGTAGCTGATCATGTGGTTGAAGTATTCTTTATTTGAAAGATTTTTATCTGCGTGTTTTATAAAATACTGCAAGAGAAGTGTTGAAAATCTATTAGTGTAGATTTATCATCTATGACTTTCTTTTATTCTGTTGGTATTTTCTTCATAAATTTTTGAAGCTCCATTATTAAACACATATATACCTGCGAGTAGAGTTGTTATAAGTTTTTAATAAATTACCATTTTTATCATGTTGAAATGGTCTCTCTTTCACTCTTACCACTCAGATGGGCTGGCTTCGATATCTTTCTATCCAGCACCATCAAAGGTAAAGAAGATAGAGATATTAAGTCTCTGTCTCACCACAAGTAGCCCTTCTCTGCTTGGTCACATGGAGTCTTGCACTCTTTGTGGACAACCCATGCCTTAGCCGAGGACCCACAGGGTGTGTCTAGGAAAAGTTCCACTCCTCCTTCCTTGTATTCCTACCCTACTGTGTATTCCTTTCTGGTACCCTACCATGCAAGCTCCAGATGCTCCACCATCCCTGACCTCTGCCCTCTCTCTAAATGTTAAGGAGCTGACTTTGGCTCCACTTCATTCATACAATCTGAAGACCGTAAGAAGCCAAGACAATATAGAGTTCCCTTCATGGACTTCTACCTCTCAAGGATTCTAGTCCTGAATTGCCTATTGTCCATTGCCTCAGAACAGATAAATACAATATTTTGTCCATTTCATTGTTTATCATGGGAAAATATATCCAGTGGGAGTTACTCCAACATGGTCGTGTGTTGAAGGCCTCAGGTTTGGGCATATTTTTTAGCAGACAAAATAATTACATTAAGACTCTACTAATTTTGATGGAGATGAAGGATAAAATCATCTATAAATCTAGACAAATAATATATCTACCAGTCTTTTATAAATAGGGTAAACATATTTTCTGGGTTTTCCTAGCATAGTTCCACTTAATGTCTACTGTAAATAGCTCCCCATTTCACACTCAAAAAATATCCTAGTTTTTACAATAAATTTTGCTTTATTTATAAATCTCAATGCTAGTGATTTGTGAGTATGAGAATCCTATAGTCCAACCTTTCCTTCATTATAGAATCATTTTTAATATTCAGTTTTCTTTAGCAAATTTCATATTGTTATTTCTTTTTTAGGAGGATTTTTTTCTTTACCAGCTTGTAAGTTTGTATACAATGCAACCCTTCATTCTCTAGTACTTCGAAATAAGTTTCAAATGCGGTCAAAATGTGCTCTTGAGAAATAAGCTATACAATGCAAACCACACTTTTACCAGAAAATTTTTTAAAAGTTGGAAAAATGAATCCCACTTATTCATAAACTTCTCTCTTTTAAGGAGATTTTTTTAATTGTAAAAAGATAGCAGGTTGCTCCTAGGTGTGTGGTTGACTGGATTAACTCTACAGAACTCTGACTTGGTTCTGATGTGCCCATGACTGAGACATCAGAGGACTTTTGGGAGGAGTCAAGACCTTTTTTGTCACAGACCAGCTCCAACAGGGGGTCTCAGGAGAGGAAAGGATGGTAAGGAGTCCGCGAAAGAGGGGTGGAGAAACAACACAGACACCAAAGTGAAGGTGTTGATCCCAATCTTTACTTGTGAAGTTGATCATATATACTTTTCATTTTGGCAGGCTCACAGTACTTTGTGATTACAAAACAGGAATCATTATTCAAAGAAACAAAATATTACGTAGCTACAATTAGAATAGAAGAATGTATCTTGGCTTATGCATAAGCAAGCATTTGTACTTTCAGTTCGAGTTTTGTTTTGAGCTGTTTCTGCTTAGTTAACTTTTAATAATAGTTAGAAATGTCCCAAACTATTGGCCTATACCTTGACTATTCTTTCTTGACTTACTGACTGGAACTGGTGCCATGGTTATGGCAAGGGGTTGACTTGTTATTACTTTTAATCAAACAAAAGTAAGAGCACAAACCATTGTGCACAGGAACAAGAACAAGTTGCCCAGTACTAAGCACTAATCTGTCTTCTTAACATTAATTTTCCTTCTCTAGATTTTAATTTAATTTCTCAAAAACTTCCTTGACAGGAATACAGGGAGTTTTCCATTAGACATTAACAATTTACACTCCACAGCTGAATCATTGCATTTAGAGCAAACAGATCTATTCTTAGAAGTAGTTGCATTAATTGGGAAAGTCATGATTTTTTCTTCATACTTAATGGTCATATGAGAAATCGCAACTATACTTATTAAAGGAGTACAAAAACAAATCAGCCCATTCCTAGAAACATACTGCGCTCCTCCAGAGGATGGACACCTTGCGCCATCCACCTCAGTAGGGCCTTGCCATTGCCTGAGTCAGGGGAGGGGCACAGCACTTTTTACTTCTAGACCCTCTCTTTTCCATTCCTCCAACAATTTAGTCATTTCCATGTTAGCTATCATGACCCGGCCTTCTGGAAAGCATGGAATCATTTCAATATATCCAATCACACTACAAAAGGGAAAAACTTAGGCAGAGAAAAGTGTTCTACATGACCTTACATTTAGAAAGGAAGAGGCTACTTAAGGAAGACAGCATCTGAGAGTAAATGTAGAACCTTTGACCATACATACGACTCTCTTATTTAAAGCTCTGATATTCTGTGGATGATATCTGGGGCCAGTTTTTGGATTTCAGATATTCATAGATTTTTTTCTCCTTGATTTACAAGGTCATATATTTTAGATGTTTATTTCTTCTTTTGGAGATAATTGGAACTCTGCAGGAAACTGGTAAAAGAAAGGTGAAGAAATAATCATTAATAACAATGCTATAACAGTCATTAATAGCCAATGCCTTGATAGCTTAGTGAGCATTGTTGGCAGAGGAATCCTCTTGTTCATTATTTATTTTCTTTGATTACATACCTAGTTAATGCAAACTGACAACTTGAATGGTTACCTAGTTATTTTTCAGTCACCCAGTTATATGTCAGACTGCAGACAGTAATAAATGTTAAACTTTCAAATCTTATGCAAATACGTTGTATTTCCATGTAGCTCATCTTTGGCAATTTATTACATTTATGTTTTTCTACTGAAAACTATTCATAACCTATTTAATGTCAGGCTCATACCTCAAATGAAGTACGAAGAACACCTTTCATAAATTGCAAGGTTTTCTTTGGTAATAGTCCTCGGAGAAGCTTCAAACTGTTAGTCAGATGCACTTATTTTGAGAGCGGCAGCTTGAGTGTTATAATACTCTCCCTCTGTTTTAAAACATCCCAAAGAACGCTGTCAAGCTCTAAGTTTCTATACCTAGTATCTACTAAATCAGATCAGGCCATTTTTATATAACGGTTGCAAATGTGTTTTTTTGAAAGTTAAATCTGTTTCTATTTTTCAATCAATTTAAAATGTGTAGAAAAAGTGTTCTGATTGTATATTATCCAATCTTCATCAGCTGCCGGAAGGAAATGCTGTGAAAATCTGTGATTTAAAACCCTTAAAACTTCTGCTTGAAATGCATGTTTTGTTAAGAACATTAAATATGCAAAGTATTTTAAACAGAATTTTGATGTCTTTATTAATAGCATTTAAAAGTTTTAGGATTTCAGATATTCATAGATTTTATTCTCCTTGATTTACAAGGTCATATATTTTAGATCTTTATTTCTTCTTTTGGAGATAATTGGAACTAAACAGGAAACTGGTAAAAGAAAGGTGAAGAAATAATCATTAATAACAATGCTATCCTTTCTAAGAATTACTGGGAGTAATACATTTTACATAGGCTAGGTACATACCATAAATATCAGTGGAAACATACTTATAGACCATTGTATTTAAATTGCTTGCTATGAGCCGTGTAAAATACAATGATCTTGCCTTCCTGAGTTTCTAATCTGCTACATAAATAAAAATAAAATACACATGCCAAAGGAATAGTTTTCCAGACTAGAAGGGCAAAAAGATTTTTTTCTCTTCTATACTTCATAGTTAAAGTGGGATTTATATTGTGGAATGGAGACAAGGCATAAAAATAATTCATGATGAAAATAATATTGAATAATAACAAATTTAAATGTATCCTATTAAATCTAAGCAACATATCTTGGATATGTAAAAATAGTCGTGAAAAATATAGAATAACCCAATAACAACAGATGATTTTCTTTTTTATAGCTATATTTGGTTTCATATTAGTTGAAAAAACACAGAAACTGTTAATTAGTACTTCAGGTTTTTATATTTAGTTTTACCTACTTTGTCAGTTAGCTTTATGTTCATCCATAGGTAAGAGATTGCCAGAAAAATCATGATTTAAACATATAGGGATTTATTCTCTCACTTAAGGTAAGTCCTGAAGCAGGGCAGCCCCATGATTCATTCAGATTTCTTGTAGCCCTTCAACACTCCATTTCTGTGGTATTGGATCAAGTCCAAGATAGCAGTTAGCGCTCCAGCCATCACATCTCTCTTCCAGACCTACAGCAAGAAGAAAGAAAAAGGGATGCTAGACTTTAAAAAGATTTCAAGTAAGTACCATACATTACTGTCATGCTCACATACCAATGGACGAAGGCTGTCCAATAGATACATCTCCTAACTAGAGTCTAGAAAATGCAGTCTTTTATCTGGATGCCTGTCTCTCCTAACTACAATGAGATCTGGCTTTGTTATGGGAAAGAAGGGGATATTGGAGCCTAAAGTAGGCATATGGCAGTTTTTTTCATTCCTGTTAAACATTTTTAACATTCTTGACGTACGCTGTGGCATTACTAATTCAAAATGAGCCTGGCCAACATTGTATCCCTATATAAGGTTTATTGCTCACTAGGTGGATCTATTCTAGGCACCACACATGTCACTTGGTACTTGGGAAGGCTTCCCTTATTCAAGCTATCTGATTATATGAACATTCTGGAAGATTTAATTGAAAAATGACGCATCTTAGAATGAGAATGATATCTAGTTGTGTGGTTAAGTTACACACATGTGTGTGTGTGATTTCACCTTTGAGCAAAGAAATAAATAAGTAATTATATAGGTAACAGGTTGTGTAGTTAGGTTGATTAATAAAAAAGAGCAAGAAAAAGAAAAGATGATGGGAAAGGAAAGGAGGAGAGAAGAGGAAGAAAAGGAAGGATTTAGAAACAATTCTTAGGATATCTGTTCTAATGTGATTTTGAAGCAATCAAAGATAAATGGTCTGATCAGAATTTACATCTCTATGTTGACCTACCCTGCTCATAATCTTCATAGTGTAGCACATCATTCTGCTCTGGGATGCTGTTTATTTGTGATCCTTACCATGTTTTGTGGATGAATCTTCATTTCCACAGTTGTAAATGCTAAGAGCACACCTTAAATAAAGTCCTGAGGAAGTTTTTTTTCTTCTAACGTCTTACCATATATTGGTTTCTTTATTTATTGCATAAGAAAGAAAAAAAAAAAAGAATCTCCCACCTCCTTTGCTGAATGCTCTTTGTCCATGGGTCCCTGTCACAGTCAGCACTGCCACTGTCCTAGGCAGGCTGCATTTCCTTGCATCATCCCAGTGGAAGGATAGAACTGTAGTCTATTCCCTTCTCACTGTGAGGAATTCGCTCCTCACCGAGATCTAGATGAAATAAGGCCCTGTATCAGGTAGCTCCATGACGCCATGTTTTCCCATTAAATAGCTCTCTGACATGAAAGATGCAGAATACTCTCTAGGGGTTAGTCAGGAGACTTTCCTCCAGCCATGTTTTTCAACCATTCTCTTAACCAAGTTTAAGGACTGAAAATTCCCCATTTCTCCCAACAGTAGCAAGCCTCGTAGAAATTAGGTAGACCTGCCAAGGTGGAATATCACAGAGTGAATTTCTTCTTGTTTCTCATATACTCTCATGCGAATGAGTTGAATCTCCACAGTCTCATTTAAATTTGTGAAGATGTTATTAAATGTGGTTTACAGCAATAAAAAAAAAAAAGTCAAGGAGAAAAATTCTTTCTTTTTCTTTAAAATATCCAGTACTTGTCACCAGAGGTTAGGGATCACATTGTAGAGGCCCCAGATGTGATGCTGGTGATATTTTGCTGAGGTCTTGTACTCTTATTCCCTCTTATAAAATTAGTCGACACCCTTTTGGTGCCTAGTTGATTGCACATTCCAAAGTGATCTGTCAAATATCAGCACCTGTGAGCTTCAGGCACATACTGAAGTTAAGAAAAAAAAAATGTTTGTTGTTTTTCTTTTTCACGTTCAGATTGGATTTTAAAAATAAAATAGGTGAACTTCTTTCAGTGCATCCAAGTTAATTTTTCAAAAATTCTACTCTTGCATAGTCAATGGGGATGGGATAAATATTATGGGATTTTCATTTGCATTGCCCTTCCTGTTCTCTGAAATAATTTATTATAATTTTCATGAGACTTCATAATATTATTCATTCACTTCATAATTGAAACGTTGTTAAACTCTGCCTCATGTTGATTCCTGACCTATACCAGCCAAAGGCACCTTCTTCTGCTCCTTCTCTCCTTTCCAACTAAGGAAGTTAGCAAGTTTGATATCCAATGATAACCTGCATATATAATTCTGGTCTTATTTATTTGTAAAATGGAAATAAAATTCCTGGCTTTTTAAAAATGTATGGTAGATTAACTGATGGAAAAGTGGCTTAAAATTTTATACATGCAAATATTAGCAATTGTTACTTTTAAAAGTTTTTTAAAAAACAACAAAAGACTTTGGGGCATTAAAATGTGATTATTAGTCTTTCAACAACAATTAGTTTATCACTGGGACATGTTTACTAAGAATAGTGACTGCATATTGTATTCAAGTCGATCACCCCATATCTAGTAACATAGTAAAAGTGATAAAATAGTGACCCAGCATCACAGAATCAGGAAAATTGCCAGCTGCTAGAATAGTGCCTGGTACTCAGTAGGTCCTGAATAAAAATTTATTTAATGAGCTCTATCTTCTAGTCTTTGAAACCAGATTAGAGGGAGAAAAAGAGATGTGCCCTCACTTTAGTAAACATTATATTAACTCACAGTTTGCCTGGTAAATGACAAGTCCTTCCTTTTATAAGAAAGACAGCAAAATCCAGAAAGCACTGAGTACAGTTCCTCCTAGGACCAATATCTAGAGCCAACCCAAATGGGTCAAATACAGGCTCATGTCAGATCAGTTCTGTTCCTAAGAAATCTTATTTATTTATTTGTTTGTTTGTTTATTTATTTATTATTTTTATTTATTTATTTATTTATTTTATCCTGTTATTTCTATTAGGCTAACTTGAATATGCAATGAGAATTACTGATTGAGCTAGTATACTATAAAATTATAAAAAATAGCTTTAGACTCAAAGATTGAATTCAAGTTTTTGTTTTGTTTTGTTTTGTTTTTGGTACCAGGGATGCTCAACCCCTGAGCCACACCTGCAGCGTTTTTTTTTTTTTTTTTTTTTTTTGTTTTTTTTTTTTTTTTTTTTTTTTTGGAGATAGGGTCTTGCTAAGTTGTTTAGGGCCTTGCTAAATTGCTGAGGCTGGCTTTGTACTGTGATACGCCTGCCTCAGTCCACCCCTGTCCCCCAGCTGCTGGAATTACAGGCACATGCCATGTCACCTGGCTAGAAGATTGAATTCTAAGGAAAATCCAAGGTATGAAAGTCTTCCTCTCTGCCTTCCCCATTTAGGAATAGCCTGGGTCTACTTATATTCCACATTCCCAGGAGTTTTTCTCTATCTATCTGATCAAAAGGGTGATACATTGTCAAATATTGTTGGAGATACAGAATTTTAAAACATTATTTATTTTTAAAAAATTATGGGCAGATGTAATGATTCCATGGATTGTTACTTCTCATTAGTTTTCTAAACCTAGTATCACTAAGAAGGAAACTCTGTGGAAGTAATTCACAGGGACAAGCAGAAAAAGGAAAAAAAAAGAATTTAGAGAGAATAAATTTATTAAATAGTGTAGTCCAGAAAACAGACAAGATGAACAGGACTAATTATATTATGCCACAGAAAAGTGACATCTGGAGACAGAAAAAGAGGAGCAATATTTACTGACCATGTATTATGCATGACTGATTATTCTAGGACCTGAAATATATTCTAGGTCTTGAAATTGGTCTTTATTTTTTACCTCTTTGGCTTGTTTGGCTTTATTTCTATTAGCATTACTAGTGCACATTAAAACTGTGACAAGTCAATGAAATGTGAGTGGGACCGAGTGTTTCTTGGAGACTTAAAAGAACAGTGACAGAGACAATGCCAAAAATATACCCTTCCAGATGTTAACCCTTGGGCTGCCTGGGTTTATTTCTAACATCAGCAGCCAAAGGAGGGGAGTTTGGGAATTTTAACACTTAAGCGAAATGATTAACGTGCTCATCTCTCTACTGAGCATCTAGACCATATAATTAGCACATTTTTTTTTAGTTTCAGGGCTTTTGATAGCATCCTTCCCAATTAGAATTACTATCTTTTACATTATTCCTCACATTCATGAAACTTCTGTGATTTTTGTACACTTGCCATGGAGAGAAAACTAGGCACACAGTTCAGAAAGTCAAAAAAGTGTGGGGTGAAAATACTCTGGTGTAATTTTCAAGTTAATTCTGGAAGTTCAAGGTTTTAGTTAAAAGAACATATGTTTTCAAGGACTTCCACTGTCCGCCTGTTTTCCTGCAGAGTTAGGCTGCAATACCCTGACTCTCCAGGCTCTGACTTCATTATAAGGAAAACCCTTTGTAGAGGGCATCTGTTCAATTCTAATAATAAATTTTAAGGGAGGTACAGAATCAAAATGAGAAGCAAATGGATTAATTATTCCTCTACATGGGAGCTGGGAATTCATTCATTACGTTTGTTCCTCATCACTGTGTGTACTCTTGGGCTTCTGCAGAAAAGAAATGTTAAATGAGAAATGAAAGGGGTAAGACTTTATTTTCTCATTGTTGGAATTTCTGTATCAGTACCAGTTTTAAGAGAACTATTTTAGCAATTGGGCCTTTGTACAGCCTGGCACATAGGCCACTTCTTGACTTGGAGGGTAAAGATTTATAAACTATGGTACCCATGCTCAAGTACATGGGAAAGCTGGGAAAGCAAAAGTCTAGACAAAAGAGCTGGGTTCTGACCCTAACTTCGCCCCTCACTAGTTATATTACCTAGCACACGCAGCATCAAAGACCTCATCTGTAGAAACAGGATTAGAACCAATTATTTCTGAGGCTTCTAATTCTGAAATTTTATATTTCCATATAATTATTCACTTCCATTACAGAAAAGGGTTGCAATGGTAATTTCACAATTTATTCACCTAGTCCAACATTGAAAATTGAAAAATAGAAGATGTAACTTATAGTCATGAGCATAGAAGTAATTACTTAAAATCATCAGATTGAGCTCTTGAAAGATATTATTAAGAGAAGCAGAGCAACAGGGTCTGAAGGGGTTTCAAAACAACCACCAAAGTCAAATTA